CGCAATGCTGACAGTGATACAGGTTGGATTAAATCTGTCCCACCAAGCCACGGATCTTTCAGTGATCTTGGCACTAAACTCCAAGGCAAAACTGATTTCATTTTCCCATCCTACTTCCCAGAGTCTTGCTCCCTTGTGTGTGTGTCCTCTTCTCTGCTTGAGGTTGGTGATACTTGAGTCAAAGTCACAACCTGTAGGTGCAGGCCTGGGGGTGGAGGTTGTACAATCCTGTCTGACTCGAGCTTTTTACCACAGTATACTTAGTACTAAGACTCTCGTCTAAGGTCTGGTCTTTCTTCCTTCTTGCTCTTCTGAGCAGGAAGTGTCCCTTCAAGCTTCACAACTTGCAGCTGCAGAAGGGTGACAGAACAGCTCTCTCCTTCCTGTCTTCCTCAACGCATCATTTCTTTTCTAAGACCGGGTACAGCAGTTGCTCACCTGCCTTCCATGGCATTTGTGAAAGTGTCTTGATGCATAAACAGCTACTCAAAACAGTTTTTGTGGAAAGATTAGTTTGTAAAAGCTCTTCACTGTATTTGATCAAATTCCCAATGGTTGAGCTATCCTCTCTTTTAAGACTAAAAGAATGTGAGCTCTCCATATTTTAGTCTGTTTTATTTGCCTATTTCCCCTGTTTTTGGCTGATAAATTGACTAAATTTTGACTAATTTAGTCCCACAGTTTCCACTTAGTTATATTGATTTCTTGATCCTATTAAAGGTTGCCCCTATGAAAAATATTATCCATTGAACACTGCATAAGGCAAATTGAAATAAAAAATTATGTATTCAATATTGCCATCATGATGAAAAATGATTGCATTGGACTAGGTTCCCCAAGAAACAGATGCAAAAATAAGATTAAAAGTGCAAGAATTTGTTTAGGGAGAAATGTCTGTGAGAAAAAAAGCAGGCAGAAGAACTAAACGATTAGACCATAACACTGAGTGAAGATGAGAGTTCAACGGGGTGTTTCAAGGCATCCTAGATTGCTTTTTCTCTTAAGAAATTTTGGCAAATACTCTGGTTTCTCTTCAGATTGTATAAATCTTTTGCCTTTTACTAAAGAAATTTTGGCAAGGCTATCGAAAAGTTCTCCAAACAAGATAGGCCATCCAAGATTCCTTATCTCTCAGAGATGAGTTCATGTTGGAATTTTTGTTGTGCTCATTGCCTGGGATCATAACTTCAGCACAGTGCTATGATGAATTCTAGAAGGCAGAAACTGCAGCACTGGGTCAACTACAGGTCCTGAAGTTGCAGATCTTTGAGTTATGCCACTCTTCTTTTCCATGTTAGTTCCCTAAACCCCACTTGAAATGTGAGTTTGTAGCTGAAGACTGATATTTTGCTGACATGAAATTTTCAGACAAACCAAAGCATATACACCTCACCAAAAGTTAATAATTAAGATCTTTTTTTCAAAGCAATAACACATCTGTAAGTTGGCTTCATGAGAAAATTAATGAGGTAAACACCTTAAATGATGACAGATACATATGACAATGCAATTCACACAGGTACATAGCAGATAAAATAATCCAATTGTTTTCATTCATGCTTCAGAGATATAAAAAAGAATGAAAGTAGGCATTGTGGTACAGCAAGTTAAGCTGTCCCTTGGATTATCTGTGTTCCCCTTCACTGATGGTTTCAGTCCCGATAGCATCACTTCTGGTATAGCTTCCTGGTAATGTGCCTGGAAAGGCAGTAAATGATGGCACAAGTATCGGATTACTTCTTCCCACGTTAGACCCTCTTGGAATTTCTGGTTCTTGACTTTGGCCTAACACAGCCCTAGCTATTGTGAACTTTCCGGGTCTGAGGAGGTAAAAAGAACTCTCTTCTAGTCTCTTCCACTCTGTGTCACTCTGCCTTTCAAATAAATAAATACACTTTTTTTTAAAGGCCTCGCACAATGTCTAAATCCAGACCTTCCAAGCTCCAGGATCCATATGGGCATGTGCCAGCTACTCCACTTCTCATCCTGCTTATGGCCTGGGAAGCAATAGAGGCTGGCCCAAAGCCTTGGGAACATACACCCACATGGGAAACTTGGAAGAAGCTCCTGGTTCCTGGCTTCAGACTGGCTCCTGGCTCCAGCTGAAAACGACAATTTGGGGAATAAACCAGCAGATGGAAGATGTTTCTTTCTTTTCTCTATAAATCTGGTCTGCCTTTCCAACAAAAATAAATAAATCTTTTAAAAAGATAACAAAAATCGAGACAATAATTTTCAAAATTTCTCCCAAAGTGGTAAGAAGGAAGGGAGAATGCATTTATCAGGATATTAACTTTTACACCAGGCACTGTGGTACATGACTTCAGGTATATTACTTTAAGATATACAATACTGGGCCACGCATGGTAGCCTAGTGGCTAAAGTCCTTGCCTTGCATTTACCAGGATCTCATATGTGCACCAGTTGGTGTGCTGGTTGCTCCACTTCCCATCAAGCTCCCTGCTATGGCCTGGGAAAGCAGTTAAGGATGGCCCAAAGTCTTGGGACCCTGCACCCGTATGGGAGACCTGGAAGAGGCTCCTGGCTTCGGATTGACTCAACTCTGGCCATTGTGGCCACTTGGGGAGTGAATCAGCAGGTGAATCATTTTCCTTGCTATCTCTGTAACAGCTACCTTTCCAATAAAAATAAGTATATCTTAAAAAAATACAGTACTATTCATGTCTCTGAATGCTTACAGCAGCCTAAGTTGCATGAGTTAAATTCCCAGTTCTGCCCCCAAGCCCAGATTCTTGCTAATACGGATTCTAGAAAACAGCAGTTATGAATCAGGTACTTAGATTCCTGTCATTCATGTGGCAGACATGAATAGAGTTCCTGTGTTCTGCTTCAGCCCAGCCATTATTGCCATTTGCGGAGTGAATCAAAAGGCAATAATCTAGCTCCGACTCTCTCTAATCCCTTCAGATAAATAAATAAATAAATTTAGATATGGATAAGTAAAAGCTGCTGGCACTATACTGCACTGTTTTTTTTTTTTAAGATTTATTTATTTATTGGAAAGTCAGATATACAGAGAGGAGGAGAGACAGAGAGGAAGATCTGCCGTCTGATGATTCACTCCCCAAGTGAGCACAAGGGCCGATGCTATGCCAATCCGAAGCCGGGAACCAGAAACTTCTTCCAGGTCTCCCACATGGGTGCAGGGTCCGAAGGCTTTGGGTCATCCTCCACTGCTTTCCCAGGCCACAAGCAGGGAGCTAGATGGGAAGTGGAGCCACAGGGATTAGAACCGACATCCATATGGGATCCCGGGCGTTCAAGGTGAGGACTTTAGCCACTAGGCCACACTGCTGGGTCCTATACTGCATTGTTTTAAGCTGTCATCTATGATGCCAGCATCCCACCTAACCAGCTGTTTTAGGCTTAGCTGCTCCACTTCCACTCCAACTTCCTACTACTGAGCCTGGGAAAGCAGTAGAAGATAACTCAAGTACTTGCGCTCTGGTCATCCATGTAGGACACTCAACGGGAGTTTCAGGCTCCTGGCTTTAGCCTGTTTCAGCCCTGGCTATTGTAGCCATTATCAATCGACTGAAGGAAAATCTCTCAACCTCTCCCACTCTCTCTGTGATTCTGCCTTTCAAGTAAATTAATAAGTACTCCTTTTAAAAAACAGATTAAAAATTATTTCTCTCTGGACTGGAACAATGTGCTGAGTTCCTTGGGTGATTGTGAGAGGGATGTGGCCAGCTAGGGCATACAGCATGGGGCTTTCGTACCTCTTAGGCGTGGGGGACAGGGGAAGGTGGCAGTGCCTTGGTTGGTGCATGCGAGGAGTAGTGCACCTGTAACGCAGGGTATTCTTGGTGGTGGGCTGAGACATGCCTGAGTGGTTCCTGTGGGGCATTCCAGACATTCCTGAGGAGAGGCCAGGATGATCTTATGTACTCATTCTTACTCTGCCTCAGGCCAGCATCCTGCTCTACCCAGCCTAATAATCCCTCGTTGAGACCTGGCACAAATAGTTGTATAAATGCTGGATAAATATTTCCCAGGATGGGTATTTATCAGTAGGTAAGTTCCAAAAGTCTATGTGTAGTTTTCATATTACACGGTGTGTGGCTGAAATATATAAAGACATAAGTGGCAAAATAGAGGTTGATATAAGAAAGCACCACTGGTTGAATTTTTAAAATCAGCAACAGTAACTCATTTATCTTGAAATCTCTAGTCGTAGCACCTTGTCTAGTTGAACAAATGAACACGTGGTAACTGTTGAACTTTGTTGGCCTTGGAAGACTATCTGAAGGCAACACTTTCAACATCAGCCTCTATCAGTGACCATAAATGCCAAAAATCTACGTGTCTCATCTGGAATCTTAACTGGCAAATGCTTTTTATTAACTCCTTTGATTATAAACTAAGCAAATTAGTACAAAGGGCCTTTGAGAAAACAGTTCCACAGTGCTTCTGTTCTGTTTCATCCACAGAGAAACTTCATGAAGACTATTGAAAATGGAAGCTTCCTCGAATTGCTGCTCAAGCTAACTGCTCTCATTTAGTTAGGGACTTTAATATTGAGAGACGCCATCTGGCCAACACTAATGATGATCTTGTTCCATTGATAGGTATCTGCAGATTTAAAAACACTGTCTTTCCTCCTCTGCTGAGGAAGTGCATCCTGCCACTCATTTTCTCCGAACCTTCACATAAATCTTCAGTGATTTAATGGAAATAAGCATTTTCATCTTACTGATGCTTGGGGGAAAGTATAGAATTTTACATAGAGAAGTTATGTAATCAAAAACTATGAAAATGGATAGTCACATAAGTGCTTTTGCCATAACTTTTCTGACCTTGAATTGATTGAGACCTTGATTCTAAGATTGCAACGATTTATATTTCTTTAAAGTTCATTTCACTGAGCTTTGAGAAAAACCTCAAGGTGGGAAGAAAGCGTGGTAGGGCGGAAGGAGAAGTTAGGACTGAGCTACTCTTGCAGATCAGGGTGTTTGAAAGTGAACAGCAGATTTAAGAAGAAGTAGAAACCACAGAACAGAGTCTCACGGAGTATGTTTCTGTTCACGTTGTTTCACAAAATAATTCAGGCTCCTTCTCCTGTTCTCTCCCGTCTCCTCTCTCTTCTCTTTCATTTTATTTCACAGATACCTCTGGACAGGTATCTACTCCAAATCCGACGAATTCAGCGGAGGAAGGGAAGCCTTTCACTTGAGCTGCTTTTTCGTTTCTAATATGTGCAGGAAATGAAGACATCTTCTGCCATGCTTGGAATTGGGAAATTTCTCTGGGTTCTCTTCCTAATCCCAGATTTGTGCATCTGGAGCATCTGTGGTAAGATAACTACTTAGATTGTTTCTCAATTTTCTTTCCTAGGGACAACATTTTCCTTTGGTGAACTTTATAGTGTATGATGTTTATGGCAAATCTGTGATGACAGCTGAAATCAAGGATTTATATTTGTTCAATAAATACTTAATGAGAACATAAAACAAACTGGGATTGGTATGTACCAATCTAAACGGTTGGCTCTGTATTCATGGTTGGGCAATTTTCTTTTGAAAAAAAAAAGATTTATTTTTATTGGAAAGGCAGATCATATTTATGGCAGGAAGAAGAGACAGAGAGAAAGTTCTTCTGTCCGCGACTTCTCTCTCCAAATGGCCACAACATCCAGAACGTAGCTGGTCCAAAGCCAGGAGCCAAGAGCTTCTTCAGATCTCCCAGGCAGGTGCAGTTCCCAAGGTTTTAGGCCATTCTTTACTGCTTTCCCAGGCCATAAACAGGGAATTGAATGGGAAGTAGAGCAGTTGGCACTTGAACCAGTACCCATACGGGATCTCAGTGTTTGCAAGGCAAGGAGTTAGCCACTAAGCTATTGTGCTGCGCCCTTGAAGTAATAACTTAAGGTAACATGAGAGATCTGAGCAGATGCTAACAACTGTTATATACAAATTTATTACCACTACTATAAAAAATGCTCTGATTGCCACACTGATGGTGGATAAATGGCTTACTCTTTCTACACTGAGCCTAGCAGAATGTTGTAGCATTTAAATGGGTCAGAAGATATTGTACGGCCAGGCTATTCCTGTATTAATAGTTACTATCAAGCAACATCGCCCCTAAATAAACTCATGTGAGAGTAGGAAGAGGGAGGGATGGTAAAAGGTTGTGAACTGAGTGTTAGGATATAGGTGAATAGAATGATACTCTCTGGTCTTCCATTGCCAAGTAGGGTAGCTACAGATAATAAAGATGTGCTATGTATTTCAAAAAATACATGTAAGAAGAAATAAGTTTGAGTGTTTTTAACCACAGGAAAATGACAAATATTTGAGAAAATACATATGTTTAACTTGATTTGAACTTTATGCAATTATGAAAACATCACTTGGTACTCCATACTTATTTAAAGACTTTGTATGTCTGTTAGAATAAGTTCAACTTTTGTACTTTGAGAATATTGAATGAGAGAAAGCTAAGAAATGTAGGAATAAGCAGAACAAATAATTTTGTTTTTGTTTTTGTTTTGTTGAAGAAAGTCCTTTCAACGTGGTTGTGAAGGAAACATAAAAAAGTCAAAATCTGTGTAGATGGTGCTCGGCTATTCGTGCAAAGATTTCATGTAGGCCAAAAATGTCATTAATTTATTCTTTATCATACAATTATTATTCCTTTTTGTTGATTGGCACAAGGAGGACCCCCATAATATAAAGAACAAATGTGTGAATGATTAGCAGATTCTGAGTTCTTAATTCTGGCTCAGTATAATCCTCCCTTCTTATTCCCTACAAGCACACCTTTGTCAGTTTGCGTGCTATTCTTTTAAGTTGTGAAAGGTAATCACTCAGGGCCTAGGGGAGGGTATATTCAGTTCCAGAGTGATGTGGTTTGAAGTTTGATGTCAGCACACCACACGCCAGGCATGAAAGTCAAAATATCCTCAGCCATCCTCGTATTTTTATGTTGGTAAGCATTTGGCATTACAGTAGTTATGTGCCTAGATGGTTGCCAGAATTTTGCACCTTTCATCAGACTCCCTACAGTCACATAACTACAGTTAGGGTCATGAATTAGACAGATTCATCCCAATTTGATGCATATAAAAATTCTATTTTAGGTTTCAAACCACACTGAGAATGGAGTAAGTGGACTGTCTTCCTCACGACGTGCTGCAACCTAGTGTTTATGAAAGTGGAGTTGTGTGTTAGGCTTACTGGCTCTACCATTTATTGTATGGTTTTGGTTAAGTTTCTTATCCTCTCTATCTCTTATTCCTTCATTTGTTAAAATTGAGATCATTGTTGTATTAAAGTATGGGCTTCTTGGGGAACCTACAAATGCAATATGTTTATGCATGGATTTAAAATTATTTTGGACCAAAATGAGTTTATTATTTTTAAGAGGAGGTTTATTTTATCGATTATAAATGCTGAGTAGTATTGAGTGAGAGGCAGAAGGACAATGAAATCTCCAACCATCGATTCACTCCCTAGATGACCTCAATGCTGGGGTTGCGCCAGGCAAAAGCTAGGAGCCTGTAAGACCATCCTGGTCTCCAAAATGTGGGCAACAAGGGTACAAGTACTTGGGCTATCTCTTGCACCCCACAACACACTAAGCAACAATTTGGATTGGAAGTAAAGCAACCAGAAATTGAACCGGTGCTCTAATATGGATGCCTACATCAACTTAACCCAGTTTGCCACAGTTCTGGCTCCAAAATTTGGTTTTTAATTTCATATTCTACAAAATTTTTGAGATGCTCATCTGTGAATAAAGAGCCAAACATAGTAATTGCACATAACACAAACTTCATATTTACGTCATTTATGTTGGTATTACTTTCACCAAGCAACCCACACAAAGTTCAATTCAATGAGAAATGAACTTTAACATTTTCATGTAAAATAGTTTCATTTTTAGATTTTTTTGTCAGATTCTAATGGTCAAATATCACACATATGTATGGAGTACAATGTGATATTATTATATATGTTTATCAAATGAATTAGCACCTCTGTTACCCCATGCCCCTTTCATTTCTTTGTGATAACAACAAATAAAAAGCTACTCTCTTAGCAATTTTATATTATTTATAGTACTATACTATGCAAAATATTACTATAAGTTATTACATACAACTGAAATTTGATTTTTTGACTTAGAGGTCTCTGAATTTTTAAAGGTAAAATGCATTACACAGTCTTGAAGTTTTAGTTCAAGATACAGAGAATAAAACTGTTTGGAAACTAAAATGGAAAGAGTTGGAGAAATGCTGACTTAGCCCAGTGTCTAAAAAAGCAGTTGATGCAAGAGATTGTTGTATTACTCACATTAAATAAAAAATATCGACTGAAATAAGAACACCTGGTAAGACTTGTTCTCTCAGAAAAGGCTAATGATTCCATTCCTTAAAACCACATCAATTGAATCTTTATATCTTGGGGATTTCCTGTGATTTACTTAACTACTGATTCTTTATAGTAGCACATTTTTAAAAAGCATTTAAAGCTCATTTTAGAAGACCCTCTTTCTCCCCTCCCCACCCACTGCAAAGCAACCTGAAGCTCTGTGTACATCTTCCCAGGAGAGACACTGCATCTACGATAAGGGTGGAAAAGGATGTAACTTTCTCTATAAGCTTCCTGTTTCAGCTCTTCTTATAAAACTGCTTGCTTGCTAGTGGTGACAGTCAAACAAACAAATAAAAGCAAAGAGGGATACTTGCACTTATGTACAACTTCCGTTCTGATTAAGTAATACGACTATCAACATCTTGTCTTTGTGGGCAGGCTGCAGACAGAGGCTGCTCCTCTCAGCTGTTCAGTTAGGAATCAACTGAGCAGTCCACTTCAGGAAAGCAGGCAGGCTAGTGCAGATAATATTGTAAAATGCTCAGCGCCATATGTGATCCAGAGTAAAGGCAATAGGAAATGTTTGATTAATCACTGGTTATGATGATAAAAATAAACATTCTAGTCCACTGAGGGAAGAATACTTGTAACTCAGCTCTTTCAAGAACACAATGTAAGGGCTTCTTTCTGATTCTTGCTTGTGTCCCTCCTTTTTGTTGTTGCCATTTTTAATGGTTGCCATGGAGCCACTTGGAAATGCCACACTCCATGCTCACACAGTCTAGGTTTTTCCACTGACAGGGCATGTCCTGGAATCAGAACAGACATAGAAGGGCAGATGGTGTACTGCAACCACCATCGCTCAAAATATAAATTTTATAGTAAGGTGCTTTTATTTCTACACTTTATTTAGAATTGTTTGAAATTTACAGAACTAAACTTGTGAGGCAGTAATAAAAAGAGTTGCCATATGCTCCTCTCATTTTCCCTGTTGGTATTTTGTATTTGTAACTTTGTCACAATTAATGAGCTTTATCCAGCTCCTCCTCTTAAAATGCAAAATCTGTTTTTTCCCATCCATCCCTTTTCTTCTCTACTATTCAACATTCTGTCTTCAGATTGAGTGGCCGTGATGTGTGTGTGTGAGTGTGTGAGTGTGTGTGTGTGTGTGTGTGTGTGTGTGTGTGTGTGTGATTTTAGCTTCCAAATATAAAGGAGAAAATGTGAGATCTGTCTTTCTGTGTTTGGGTCATTTTACCCAATATGATATGTTCCAGTTCCATCCCTTTTGCAGAAAATGCCATAATTTCATTCATTTTTCTAGCTGAACATTGTTCCATTATGTATGTGTGCCACATTTTCCTTATTCGTTCATCTGATGATGGGCACCTCGGTTGATATCCTATTTTGGCTATTATTTGCAGTGCTGGCATAAAGATGGCGTAGAGGTCTCTCTGATACAGAGTCCCTGTCTTTGGGATATGTACTCAGTAATGACATTTCTGGATCAGACAGTAGGTAGTTCCACAACTAGTTTTTAAAGAAACCTCCAAACTGCTTTACTGCTTTCTACAGTGACAAACACAATGTCTCTAGCAAGCTTATGTACTTTAATTTTTTGGACTTCGCTATTTTTCTTTCAAAAAGCGCACATACTGGAATGCTAAAGATAGAGCCCTGCTTTGCCAAATACCAAATGCCAATGCAATGTTTTCACAACATTTCCTGCCACACACGATCTAAATATTTAGGAATACATTCTGCAGATGTAAGATTTCCAGGAATAAGACATGAATAAATTGGCCCCATGAGCTGATTGTGGCCTTGAATTGTCTTCCTCACATGAGGAAACTCTTTAAATTGTTTTTGCTTCCTTGGTCCTACCATCAAAATTTCCTCTCTTGTAATGTTGACATCAGAAGCTGTTGTCTTGCTTCACTGGGACTTTCCAGCTTAATTTCCATTATTTAATTG